TGCCAAAAATTCACCCGCGCTTCCTGATACAACATTCGTATCGTGATATGTATGTGTATGTGTGTGTCTGTGTGTGTGTGTGTGTGTCCAGGCAAGATACGGGATGAATTAGGGGTACAAATTGTATCGGGGGAAGAGAATGGGGATTCGCGCGTTTTTATTTTTAGATACTTTTAACACAGACCGAAAGAAGAGCACGAAGGCCGATGAAACAGATCTCGATGGAAAAAGAAGAACATCATGGAATATCGAATATACGCGAGCGCGTTCTGTAATTAGAGACAAAATCAATAAAGAAGCTTGAAATTGTTTTTATTCTCATATTTCTCGCAAATTTTAACTGCTGCTTTCAACATTTGCGTCCTCTTAAATAATTTGTTAAATTTCATAAATGTTTTCTCGTTTGTCCTCCGTTTTAGTTGTGAGTAAATTTTAAACACGATTCGATTGAAAATAGGAGAGGCAGAGAAAGAGAGAGAGAGAGAGGGAGAGAGAGAGAGAGAGAGAGAGAGAGAGAGAGAAGAAATTGCACTTTTATCTTCTCAATATGCGCGTATCGAGAAATATTGCACTCGTAGGCCTGCCTCCTCTCTCGCGAGGGAAAAGTTTTCCACCAACAAGCCTTTTTTATAAGAGACTCTTCAGGATACACAGGAGAGTCTCGCAAGTGCGGAAGGAAGCATACCGCGCGCGTTTCCTTGCGTGTACGTGTAAAGTGGAATATAGCCGTCGTATAAAGGGGAGATTTAAGTTCAATTAAAAGTGTATTACGGCTGTGCGCGTACCTTAAGCAGTCTCGTCGGCTGGCGATGGATTTTGTGCACGTCTCCTACCAGAATAATTAGCCTCGGTTCGATTACCGCGATAACATCGATCGCATAACATCTTTGCGTGCCGATCTTTATTTTCTATTTACTCGGTTTATCGGAAATCAGGTTAAATAACTATTTAAAGGTACTGGTGGGAGTATGTTTATTATTTCTCATTTCAGTACTTGGTGAAACGAACAATATTAATGGGTGATTTATAACTTCAATTTAATTTTTGTACCAGTTTGCGGTGCACTTGAAGGATTACTTCACGAAACCCGTTCCTTTGACCATAAGTGGCTTCATCAGAATAATGCCGCAAATTTATTTAGGTCCGAGTTGCAATGTACGTTATATAATGCGTTCACGAAGAGAGAAGTTACATAAGTAGGAAAAAGAGTCTATCCGAATTTTTAAATAAAGTATACTGTTTTCGCATGAGGCTTAAATTAGAATTCTGCGCTCGGTTAAGGAACTAAAACTCTCTCGTGCGCGGCGTCGTGATTAGATCTGAGCAATGCCATTGCAATCGATTTTAAGCGCACACAGATGCACGAGGGCAATGCATTATTATGGCTCAGCCAGCCAGCGTCTATTCGTGACGTAATATCAATAAACATTCAAATTGAGATTTAATTCCTAATTATAAATTTAAAGCCAAATGTGAAGATAATTGTAATGAAAAATGTTATTCGGTCGAATTTCAATTGGGGAAAATCTTATTCTGAACCTATTTGAAAAATGCAAAAATGCAAAATCTGTGGGACAGATGTTTAAATTATGAAGATGCCAACATATAATAATTTCTCTTTTTAATAACATGGAAACTTTAAATTCTTGATATCGGCTAGTGATTTTTGCCGAGAGAGAGGAAATCTACTTTTTATCATATCTTTTTGTAAAATAGATTTACGATGTTTCAATTATATTAAGTATAACAAATCAGAATGTACGAGATGAAACTTATATTTCTTCCCGTATTCATTTAAAAAATAGACATGTTCTAATCAAGTTAAAAACTTGTTTACACTCTTCCATTAGTGTAGGCGAGAAGTTTCATTATCTAAAGGTAAATAGCGCGCCTGTGTGCATTAAATACTCGCTGCTGCTTTCATGCGGCTCTTTTGAATACGGAGATCTTAAGAATATATAGTGAAATCGGCCTCTTCGAGAGTTTTAAAATCTTGGTCCAGCAACTTCTTTCACGGTATAAGTCATGGAAATATCGCTGATATTAATGAATATATAATAACTTTCTTTATACGCAGATGTATATAAATCTTCTTTTATAAGGAAGAAAGGTTTATAAGGTTTACAAGGAAGAAAGGAGCTTAAAAGTCGTATGCCAAGTCTCACATATCGCAGAAGTTCGCATGGAAATTTTATAAATTATATGCACAAACGTACAACGTATTAAAATTTATCTCATACAGTTTAAAAATACAGGATTTGTTTTTAAAGATAAATAGTTTCTTTTCACGTGCATTGATTCGAAGTCAATTCTTTTTCGGCGAAATGGTTTTAGGCAAAACTAACTTCAATAATTTTATAATTATAAAAATTAAAAAGAGAGAAAGCTTTTCAAAATAGTCGAAAATTTATTTTGAGAGAATTTTGAATATTTCAAGCAACTTTTCTCTTCATTTTTCGTCTTCATTATTAGAAATTTGATTAATAACGTTGCCTTTTTGACCAATTTTGCGAATTTTCTGGAAAACGAATCAATCTCAAATTTATAAAAGAATTTATCTTCATAATAAAATTTCTTTCTTTCTCTTCCGCCTCCCTTCCTAGACTCAATTATGTCACGTTAAAAAGCAGATCATCACAGAGATATATATCGGCGAAGTTTCGTTATGTCATACGTCTCGAGCGCGACGATATTCGTATTGCGATTATCAGGCGTGCGATTCATTCCACGTAAAATTATCAAATTCATCTAGCACGGCAATTACATTCGGTCTGTCTGAGCTATCAGGCGACTAAGATTAAGAGCTCTACCGCGCTATCATCACACGGCTATATTCCTAAATGTGTAACAGTGACTGACGATATATAGATGTACTCATTACACTGACGGACGTGCGCAATGTACCCGGCTTTGTAAATGACCGTCGAGACTTGTCGCGGCTCATGAATCGGGCGATTCGCGACAGTCTGCGGATCTTATTCGCCGCTTGGTCGCGTTCGGCAATGAGTTTAGAATAAGGAAACTTGGCTGATATTCATGAAAAAGTTATCGCGGCGGTATTTTAAGAATATACACACGAACGACGGTGTAATTGCGACAGATTTCGTTAAATTAACGAACAAGCGCACGATTGTCTTGAGCTGTCGGGGCTGGGATGAGGGAGCGATTAAATTTGAGGATAAACATTTAAAGCGCTGATGTGCATTTGGAAACACGTCTTATCGTATTCCCGATAGCGCAAACCGATAAAAGCTTAAATGCATACGAACTTTTCGTATGCAGATTGCAATAATATAGCTATCTTTTAGTATATCGTCTACTATAACCACTTTATTCGAGGGTCCCGAGATTACCGTATTCAAATGGAAGATCTTGAAATTTCGAATTCCGAGAAGGTGGATCCGTTCTGGCGGGCCGAGCGTGAGGAAAGTAGTCGGATCCGCGCCTGAGAATTGCTCTTCGGGAATTTAAGTTTGCGCATAACAAAGAGGGTATCTGAAATTACGAAACAACAGAGTATTGCGCGACCGCGCAAGCGCCGACCGCTAATAATTCGGCATCGACGTCGGACTCGCGAGTGTATTTTCGGGAAATTGGATGCGACGGAGCGTTAAGCGGCGTCTCGCACGAAATTAACTAGACGAATATGACATGGGACGACATCGATTCCGTCAGGTGAGAAATACCTGAGTACATATTAAATTCCGAACTGTAGCGGCGCGATGATGCACGTACCCCGTAGTATGAACTGTTGCTAACTTACTTCGTATCATCACGCGTATAGTTCCGTAAGTATACTATCTCGTCCTGAAAATTTTCTTTGAAGTAGTAATTGGCTTGCTTGTTAATGACCTCTTAGAAGTTTCTAAGCTTGACGACCGTTTATAAAGGTGAGCTTGATGAAAGGAATTTTGTTACATATTGCACAAACAATCTTGTCACTCGCGCGCAGGTAACGTTTGCTTTACTATCATCATAAATTTTACCGCAAGGTATGTCGCGAGGGTCGCGAGGTAATTAGGCGGCGAAAGATATAATTAGCGCTGGGACAATCCTATATCCTCTTCTTGACGAAATAATCGTTACTCTATTTCACACGGAGAGCCGTCAAACAGCGAGGAGTTCTGATTTCTTTCTCTCGCGGTGCTTCGTGAATACAAAGATCTTAGCTAAACAGTACTGTTACGACTCGAGCGTGCTCTCATCAACGAGCGCATCTCTGCAGCTTCGGTAGTTCCCGTTTCATCCCAAGTCCGTCGAAGTAAGGGCGTTTTTGTTTCGTGTGTCGAAATTTTCCGCTCTCGCGCTGCAATACGCCCGCTCGCCGGCAGCTCGCTGTGAACCAGTTTTTCCTTTGCAAATCGATGCCTGTGCAAGATGCGGCGCGCCGCCCTACTCGCGAAATACGTTGACGTGCATTCGTGAACACGTCGACGCGCGTCCATGTGCGAAAATATCCTACATATCATAGGAATATTATCGAGCGCTGTTATTGGCTCTTGGAAATTACTCCCTCATCAGAAGTTCAAATGAATTTGCTCGCTCCCTCGCGTATCTTTCCAGCGGTATTACATCACCGCGCCGAAACGCGATCGCTTAAGTCTCCCGAGCTGATTTACAACAGGGATTGCCTCGCGAACGTAACGTCGCGCGCTTCAGATTTTATCGCGCGCAGCGTACACACGTACGGCGGTTTGCGCGAATCACGTTTTTCCTTTTCTTTCGCAAATCAGCCGGTTGCCCCACCTCCCCTCCCTGAGAACATTGTGCTTAGTCCTCGCTTGACCCGCTTACGTTAACTCGCGCCATTCACTGCCGAGTTCCTCCCGAGTACTTTGCAAACTTCGGCGCTCACGTGGGCTATAAGTATAAGTACTAGTAAGTAAGTAAGTAAGTAAGTAAGTATGTATGTATGTATGTATGTATGTATACCGCGCCGGTTACGTAGCAGCGTTCGCGCGATGGCGTGATACTTAAGTCGAGGACGTTCCGTGTTACAGATTTACCCAGGTTCGGCAAACCGTTGAACAACCTCACAGTCTCGCTTGGTCGCGAAGCCGTTTTCACCTGCATCGTCGAGGATCTCGGACCATACAAGGTGAGACGCGCATTATAACCCCGACAATCCTATTTCCACGCGCGGTTGCAGCTATACATCGCGTCCTGCTGCCGCTGCAATTGCACGCCGCGTTGCGCGCGCTGATGCGATCCCCGTGCGATCGAGAGACCCCGGTCTTGATAAGCGATATTGCGGTGTGTAAATATCCGTCAGATGCGTGAAGCGAGATACCGTTCGTCGAATTCTCGGGCGATTTTCTTTCCTCCTCGCGCGATTTTCACACCGGTATAAACTTCTTCGCCTTCCGACTTCTCGACAAAGTTACCGCATACCGAAGGCAAAGAATCTCGGCGATTCGGAAGCAGCGGTTAAATAGCGAGTCGTTTTGTAACGAGTACCAAAGAAGAGTTGGCAGCGAATGTTTCCCAACAATCTTTTCTTCCTGTTTTAGAATTGCTCAAAAATTGTCCATTCCTTGGATACAAACAGAGGGAGACAGAGAGAGAGAGAGAGAGAGAGAGAGAGAGAGAGAGAGAGAGAGAGAGAGAGAGAGGCAGAGCGATCTTCGTTGAAAACTCTCCGCTCCACAGAGTGTAATTAATGCAAATTTCCTATTGACGATTTTCATCATCTCGGCGAAATAACGTAAATACGAGATGAGACTCAGCCGATTAAATCTCAAATAAAGAAGATCGAGTTACATTTCACGCTGAGTGCGCTGTGCAAGCGCGGGGGCCTCGATCCCGCCAGATGACGGAATCACGTTGATTACTCCTTCGCCGCGCGAGATGGACAGCAATATACTGTGATTTGCGAGTTACAAAATCGGCGTTAAGTCGTCTTGAGTGGCGCGACGGGACGTCATTATCGCGGCAGGCCGCGTCTCAGCGAAGTTCCCGTCGGCGCGGCGACGGGAAAGTTAATGAACGGTACAAATAAATTCAAAGCGAGGGATTGGACTAGGATCACAGCGCGTATCTGGGCAACTCCATTTAAGTAGAAATAAAATCCTGCGGGGTGTGAGTTCAGCAGTTTGTTAAGCGGCTCCGAGTCCTCCCTCGCGCACACCGTCTTCTTCCGCCCGATCGTTTCCCCGTCGTCCGTCTATCTCCCTTCCCTCGTTTTCTCCTTATTTCCCGTTCTCTTCTCGGCTGCTCCTAGGCTGCTCGGGCGCTCCTCCTGGAGAAATACCCTTTTCGATTCCCTCCGACCCTCCCCTGCTGCGCGAGCCCTGCGCCGCGCTCAAACCGCGCGTATAGGAGTTATAGTTTTATAGATAGCGCGTTCCTCCGCGCTCTCGCCGCTCTCTTCCGCTCTCTTCTCCGCCATGAGCGTGGAAATGTTTTGGCGATAAAAATGCGCGGGATTGTTTTACGGCGATGCGGTGCTATGTGTGCCTTCTTGCATGCGTGTGTGTGTGTGTGTGTGTGTGTATCTGTGTATCTGTGTACGCTCTCACGCGCACGTGCGTTCGAACGGAATCGATGCATTATCCTTACGCGGCTGGTCAACGGCATCTCTGCGGAAATGAAAACGCCGAGTCACGTTGGCCGCGGCGATACTCGCGAAAAGCGTTGGGCGCAAATAATAAAAAGCCACGTATATACCACTTTGCTCGGATAGGGGATACAAAGGGGCGAGCGAGTGCGAGCGCGCTTTCAATAATCGATGCCGGTGACGGTCACCACGGAATTAACGCTTTTTAGCGTAGCCCGCTTTAACACATGGCAGCTGTACACGGCGCGGCTATAATCGCGCGATTGGCTCTTTGCGCCGCCAGCATCGCGATGCTCTTGCATTACTAATAATAAGTTATTAATTTCCTTTGATAGGCTGCGAGAGAGCGCGCACACAGGATCAAGTGGAGCAGGAATTCGTATTTTTATCGTTCCGTCTGACAGACGGAAGTGTACATTCAAACGGTAACGATGCGAAGAGGGCTTACGTTAGAGCGACGTCGCTCGCTACCATCGCGCAGTTTATATTGCAACTTGTGCTACATGAGTAATGGTGTATTTTATGTATAGCGAGTTGTGAGAGAAGAGGAGAGGCGAGAGAATACGTCGGATATTGTTCGGCGCTCCGGAATGATAAAGCGTCTTATTACAACTCGCCAGGTGTTACCATGCTGTGTGTTGCGCGATGGAGGCACCAATTTCGCTAATTAGCGACAAACGTATCGCTTACATTAGACGTCTGCCTCCGATTGCGCTCTCTTTCTTGATATTATTCGTCGTTTCGGCAATTGTTCGTTACGCGTTAATCGCATTTCCGATACCAGGCGCTGCGAAAACAAATTTAGCAGCTACCTATGAAATTGGTTATAACAATTTCTTCTGTTCAAATAAAAACGAGCAACGTATAGAAACAAAATACATATGGATAGTTAATTGTATGCTTTGTAACAACGCTTATCAATAGCATTAAAAAATATATATTATATATATATTAAAAAAAAAAATATATATATATATATAAACAAATGTTGTATGAGAGGGATATGAGGAAATTTATATTGTAATAATAATGAAATAAGTATTATTCTCGAGAGGCAGTTAGAGAAGATGAACATTATAAATTGAAAATTTCTCGATAATTATTTCGAATTTAATTATTCCCCGTCTTATCATGCCCTTAATATATTCGATCAAGTGTAGTAATTAAGACTTTCAACCAAGTAAGACAAGCCAATCAGAATCAGATAAAATAAAAATTTATCGTTTTTTTAATGATTCATAACTACTAGAGTTTTAGCGGAATTGTCGCGGAAGTATTATGAAAATGCGTATGTGTCACATAGCTTTTATTGTAATTAAGAAACTGTCGGAAACTTTCTGCTTGATATTCCAGCGCTAATCGTGCAGCCTGTCGGTGATCCATTATATTAAATTTAGCTGTGACTTACTATGCAAACTTATAACGCTGTGCAAGTTCCCTAGTAACCCAATTTTTTGTAATTCACCGTCAAGAGTCAACGAGCAATATATGCATTTATACGATGCATTGAAGTGAAATTATTTTATATTTTTCGAACATTACAATATATATATATATATATATATATATATTGTATATATGGTATATTGTATATATATTCGTTACATTTATTTCTGAATTCCTGAATTTAAACATCGTGCCATGTTCGATTTGACATTTCATCAGAATTTCGTTACGTGTTGAAACATCTATTCCCGAAATACTATTAAATGGAAGCTTATTGTAAATTCACGCCGAGCATTTCAACAATCGTGAATTAGAGAACGAATCTTGCGCAGCGAAATCGGTTAGATCTATATATTTGTAGATTACTGTTTGACCAAGAATAGGTTATAATTATAATCTATCATAAACAATCATAAACATATTATAAACAAAATCTTCGTACATTATTAGGGGATAAACTCAATTATTTCCCGGGAGATAACTCAAGTGTGTTCCCCTCATCACATTTCTGCCTAATTCTTTCGCCAGGCTAAGGTTTATCCGACGTCCTCGTAGCTATAATATTTTCATTGCTACCGCGCCTTTTATGAAGTGCGGAAATAAGCCGAGTACTTCAGGAATAAAACGATTTATGTATTATCTCCACTCCGCGGCAAATTTTAAAATTTCATTAAAGAGCCGAAATTGCTTCCTGTGAAAGTGGGAGCGGTAAGGAAAGGAAAGAGAAGGGAAGGGAAGGAGTCACCCCAGCGTCGCTACCGCAAAGTATTTTTACGATTCTAAACCTAATTGAAGTCGGGTCCTCGAAACTTGTCGAGTTTCACGGGGATTAGCGCTTGGAGAATTTTTCCCTCTTTAAATAGTCACGACTTTCAACATTTCGCCAACGGTGGCCGTCTTTTACTTCTGTTCAGTTTTGCGAAAGCACGGTATCGTGTGTAACATATTACACAATATGTTTGTGCAATATATTATGCACAGAATGCAACTTGAATGGAATGTTCGCGAAATGAAAATGATTTGAGTATTTCTATTCGAGACGAAATGTGCTAATGTTTATTGATTCTTGCATATAACGATGCTAAACTGTGTTAAAAATTTCATACCGTGTTAACTGTCCGATAAGTAAATCCAATTCGGGAACATAAATCGGTGAATTTATTATTCGCAATTACGAGAGTGCTGTAAACATAACGCATCGCATTGTGAATATGGATTATTTTCTGCTCGCTGCGGTTGACATATATTTCCTGCGATCGCCCATAATTGCCCGATTACATAAGTTTTATCTCAAACGACGCGTTTGTATATCTATTTGGCGAAACGTCCGTATGTTATATTGCGTGTGTGTGTGTGTGTGTGTTTGCAACTGCCCCATCAGATTACGAGTTTGATCTCGCAAGAGCCAACCGAGGCTACCAAATGGTTATACACCGTCATGTGCCATCTATCGCTACGCTGCGAGCGAAACGTAATCTCATTTCCCCGATAAAACTTTATTTCCTCTGAAATGGAGTGTCAAAAATAAGTGAAATTCGACATTTATTGCGCGTCTCTTTCCTACGGCGTTTTTGTCCAAACCATATCGTCGCACACAGTCGTATTGCAAACATGTAGAAATCTATAACAATAAAAATGCGCGACCAAGCTTGCAGAGTGAGCGAAAAATGCAAACGAGTGAGATGCATGTCGCGTGAAAATTTATCCCCCCAAGATAAAAGGAAAGGGGTAGAGCACAGAGCCGAGTCCCGTTTCGACCTGAACGAATTTCAAGATCTCTGCGGATCGAGAAAAAGATCAGAGGTCCCTCGAGAGATCTCGTAATTATCGGACGAAAAGAATTTCAACATCTCATTATATCGTATACAATTACCGCTATAATGAGACATCAAACTTGGGATGACCTCACACGAGGTGTTTCACACACGGAGCGATGCAACGCTCACGACTAATATTCTCCCGTGGGGCTAAACTCTCGAAATCATTACGGCCTGTTGCAAACGTATTGTTACTTCCCAGGCGTAGCATTCGGCAAATTGCGCATCCACGAGAGAGGCACGCCAACGTGGAATATTCCACGATCCCTTGACGATCCT